TACATAAATGGTATTGTCTCCTAGAATACCCATCAGGGTTCTGCGTGGCTGATTTGGTAAATTTAGATAGGACGCTACCTCGCTGCTTTGGGCACGAATCTCATTTTGTTTTTCACAATCACCTAATTCTCCCTGTAGCTTAAAGAAACACATGTGATTTGCTTTGCTTTATGTTGCAATATGCCAATCTTTTAACATTTTCTTTTTCTTTTCTAAGTACTTATTAAAACTGCAATCGATATTTCTGTATATTCCAAATTAATTCTTCAATGATTAATGACTTTAGGGGCCACCTTACCCGATATTATCGTTTTTTTTCTGGTCCTAATGAAGCAACAGCAATTGTAACCATATTTTTAATAGTATAGAGGGCTAACGAGAACACAGGTCACCTGGGCCTCAATTGTGATATTTTATGTTTGGCTAACTCAGTGGCTTTATTTTATAAAATATTGCCATATTTATATCCTTATAATTATATATTATTTATCCTTATAATTTGAAAATATATTACGTTTTTTTAGGAAATGTATTATTTATTTTTGCAAATATGACAATCTTTTTGATATCCCCACTGATGAGCCACTGCCATTCCATCGCCACTGTAAAGACACTGCGTTAGTGTAGACTACCGATATTTATACCGTTCCCAAGGGCCACTCGATGGCATCTCAATAGCGTGTCAGTGGTATGACAGTGGCTTGGCGTGAACATAAAATAGCAGAATTGAGGCCCTGATAACAAGTGACCACCGCCGCCCATAGACACACTACAACTTGAGAGTCAGAAGTGTTGAGACCTCCCCAATAAGAGGAAGAAGGGGTGTTGTTAAATATTGAGACTTGCATTGCATCACCCCTAACAGCCACATAGTATATCTGGAGATTTCAAGGACAATATAATATGAATCCAAACATTATGCGCGTTTGGCTGCTTTTCTAAAGTGATTGCCATTGACAGCTAGTTCTCACGAAGGGCTTGGTAGGTAGGGTTGTTACACGTTGTGTGTATGTAACACGTAGGTACGTGTAAACATAAATAAATTGACTACTTAGCTTTTGCTAATTAATAAATTTAAGGGTTGTTTTTAAATTTAAATTTATTAATTATTAAAAGCCACTAACAAAATAGTGTTAGAAATCTTGTAGGTTTTTAGGAATCCAGGACAAGGACATGGAACAAGACGCAAAAGTCCCGGACATTCTTGGTTTGCCCAGCCATTTGGCAAACCTAGGCTTGGGCTGTTAGAAATTGTAATCATGATATGATGTCACGAATGGATCGTACGACGTCTTCTGTCCATGTGCGTTGCGGGCGTTCCTGGTAGGCGGTACTCACTTTCCATCAGGTGACCAGTCAGCTCGTTTGCCCCCCATTTCATAAAAAAACAGCTTTTAGCAGATTATGATTTTCATCAAATGAATTTGTGACGACTGTTCAAAATATTACATATAACGAACATTCATAGCTTTGATTCATGTCCACTGATTTAAGCTTTGAATGATTATTTTCGCACTTTATTAAAAAGCTTGGTACAATCTGTTCTAGTTAATAGGTTTATGCTGATAGCGTAATGAATATAGACTCCAACCCACCGTCTTTTTGGTTACACAAATTTTATACTTACTAAAATTATAATGCTATCAAAAACAAGAACGGTTAAATAGATTATTATAATAGTAATTCTTAAACACTCGCTTTATTACCAAACTTTCATTTTTAACGCTTCCCTTCTGGAATCATGTCCGTGACGTCACTGAAACGAAAAGAGGTCGTCCGCGATCACGCTAGCCATCAAACATCCAGCGTACAGCGAGTGGTGGCGTTACTCTCTGTGTCAGTGCTATATTGAACACGCTACACGTAATAATCGCAGATAGACAGCGGCTGTTGTAGGCGGTATGGCATCGTACATTGCACGAAGTATATGCGTGCTCGCTTCGGTTGACTATATTCCATATCGGCGAGCAGTAGTTGTCGACTTGGTGCCGCCAAACGGGCGTCGCACTCGCCTCACAGTGACCTCACTGCGCCAGCGACGACTATACCACCTAAATATGACCTAAGCGCGAACGTATTGTTCCTTTTGTTTACTGTAAACGTTTTTAATTATTTGCAGCTTCTGTAGGCAGGTACTTAATTTTGTGGTTTACAGACTAACACTAATAGTTCTGAATGCCTGCTGATATCTTCTAAAGTAACAAGTTTAGTGTCCTATGACACTAAACTTTATTTCAATAACCTAACTAGGTACGTATAGGTACAAACACTATTAATTGCGGTAACCTATGTGCTGTGTTTGTAAAGAAGTATTGAAAAGGTGGTTCAAATTCTTTCCTATCAATGTTCGTGACGCGATAGCGGGCAGCGGCTGTCACCATCGCTAACAATCATGCCTTCACCTAATTGACTCCACTTTAATTGGTACTCGTCTGTGATCGCATCGAATAGTTACCAACATCGTGGCAATAGTACTTAGTTCTTATGTTGAACATACGAGGCCCCGCACCACCTGACACGAGAGCAGCTGGCAGCCGGCTGCTTGCTTGCGCACAACAAAACTTGTTTCTTAGCAGACGGCTCAATATGGCGGACCAGCGACGGCCACTATATGGCATTACATTAATAAAGACAAATTTCAATAGGTGCAACTAATTCAGTGGGTAATGCAAAATAATATTTTTTAAGAACTCTCCATTTATAAAATGACAATGAATCCGAAGCAGCACTTTATATATTCTTCAGTTCTACGGCCAACCGTTTCTGGGAAGTATCTGCGTGAACTGGATTGCTTTGTTATCGGGTCGTATTGTCGAGCGACTGTCCTTTAGACATGTCCGTAATCGTATTTTTCCGCCGACTTGTGCGCAGTCTACGTGCGGTGTAGTTGTTTACACCGAGCAGCAAATGTATAAGTATATAGGTAGATACATTTAGATAGGTATAGGTAGGATAGCCGCGTAGGCAGCGACAGTCGTGCAGCCCGCGGCGGCGGCGGCGTCGTCGCACGACCCTGATAATTTGCTGCGCTTATGTTACTTCAACGGCTTCTTGCGACACGTTGTGGCCGCTTTCCTCCGTTCATATTTCCTACACCATGCATTCGAAGTACCTAAGTAGACATCGTAAGCAGCTAAGAGTATTACGCTCTAACTTGTTAATAAGCAGTTGTTGAGTACAACTGCAAAAATCTTAACACGTCTTATAAATAGCTCAGATAGCTGGACCACGTGTAGCCGTATGTTCTTATCAATTAATTATGTAACACTTTATTTGCATTACGCAGAAGCAACTGCTGCATAATTACTCTTGTCATTGAACATAACTCATATCATAAAAATTTTGCAAAAATCAAAATCAAAGGCCTTCAACTATTTTACTTGTGATCATGTACGTTTGGACAACGCACGGCTTCACTCGCACATGTCTCACGTAGGTTTATAAAAGAGAAATAATATGACAAATATTTAAATATTTGGCTAAAAGGTTGGATTCTCAGTATACTGCTGCTCATGTAGACTTTCATTCTGGGCTTGGGTGGGTTTTGAACAAAACCAAAAGGTTATGCCACAAAAATAACCGACGTTTAGACTGTTTATTTTTTATTTAATCACAATTAGTTTTTCATTAAAATTAAAATATATTATACATATTTAATTGGTTATGAACTTCTAAAACATTTATTGGGGCAAAAGTGACGATTTGTCACGATTGACGGTTGACATGACGATTGTGTGTGGGATGAGTTGGCAAAATTGGTTGTTTCTTTGAGGCAACATTTATAAGCACGGCGTAGGGCTTGACCAGAGTGCTGCCATGGCGCGGCAGTAAAACGCAACGTAGAAATCCTCAGTGCGTTTTACCGCGTGACATTAGCAGTAACTCCTTGGCCCCCGTAAAACAAAGTTACACTAGCAATTGAAATGTATAAGAGAACTAACTAGCCAATTACAACGTTAACTTTGTTTTTGGGATGTAACGGAACCCCGTCCACGTGAGTTGGAACTCGCACTTGCTCAGTGTTTGTGTGTGTTTTTGTACCGTAAACAAATCTTACCTATACTTCAGTCAAAAGCTTCTTCTAATCTGATATTACAGTCAGTTGAATTTATTTATTTAAAATCTTCACAACTAAATTGAAGTAGATTCAAATTTCGGGTTTTTTTCATGATATCTTAATTCTTATGACTCCTTAACTGAGCAGCTACCGAACATTGTAAGTCCATTCAAAATGGGTCCACCTATTTCGGAGATTAGCCGAAACTAACAGACACAATAAAATAATTTACTCATACAATAATAATATACACTTCGTGAAAAGCTATTATTTTGCTATCACAAACAATTACTTAAATGTTGTTTAATAGTGATGCATACTAATATTACAAATGTGAAAGTGTGTGTGTGTTTGTCTCTTCACGCTTAAACAGCTAAACCGATTTAGATGAAATTTGGTATAGAGATAGTTTGAGTCAGGGGAAAGGACATAGGATAGTTTTTATCCCAGCAATCATCCTTTAAGGATGTGAAAAGGGGCGTCGAAGTTTGTATGGGGAACCAATAACCGCTAAATCTATTTAGATAAAATTTGGCATGGAGATAGTTTGATTTTTGAAAAAGGACATAGGCTATTTACCGCGATAACCAACATATACACGGGTGGAACCGCGGGCAAAAGCCAGTTCTTTATAATGCCATTTTGTCATTATTACGGGCTTTTAGGGGATAAGCGTATAGGTAGGGAAGTAAAGCAGGACGAAAACTCATAAGGACCTTGCCCTTAATAAACACGTATACGTCAATTTTTAATTGGACTCTTGAAATGTTAATTAAATCATCACGAATATACATATACGAGTAGAATCCATCTAAACTTTATAATTCGTTCTGTGATAGGCGGTAGGATACAATTACTTATGTACCTAGTATTAATTCAATGTTAAGTACAAAATAGTTCTGTATCAAGTGTTTGCTATTGAAATAGTACCTATTGACTCATAATGAGTAAATTGCTAAATAACACAAACAAGTCGCCGTTACTGTGTTCATGCACGAGTCGGTCGACGTCGATCATCGCTTCGTCCGTGACACCTAAACGAGCGAGCAGCACCTCTGCTATCTGCTGGTTTGATAAGGCGCATTTATCAGCGGGCCTCGACGCGGGAGACCGACGACATGAGAGCGGCTGCGGTCGGTTGTTGGGTAGCGTATGCCGGAGTGGCGGACAGAGGCAGGCATGGCAGAGTCGTCGCCGCACATGTTGCGGAACGTGCAACGGAAGGGAGCGGGGGGCGGGAGCGCCAGGGACGGCGACGGCTCACCGCCACCGGCATGTCTCACGCACACACCCGCAGCGCCCACACGACGCCCGCGCCCGTGGAGCGTCACTACGCCTTATCGCAGCCATCTTTAAACGAGCACAGTGCACGCCACCCGCCACTCGGTACGAATTCCATTTGAGAACGCTGTTGCTACGATGGTCGTCGACGACCGACCGCAGCAATCCTTTCATTATAAGCGACGCGAGCGGTGTGCATCGAGTGACAGCCTGCTCCAAGGTCGTGTTAATTACCAGTTGGATTGGTGACAGTCATGCTCGTTAGCAAGTCTCATCATATTAATATCCATTTTTGAATAAACAACTCATTTATCGCCTTCAGCAATCGAGAGACAATAATATCGTTGCCTCTTATGCATTTGCTGACGACTGCGGCAACAAGACACCATGACGTTACATTGCATTATATGTTTATTAACACGCGGCTAACGTTAACCGTACCGTCATATTCACCTAAAATTGTTATCCTATTTCTATCGTCGTCGTCTACGGTTTATACATCTCCACACTAGGGTGTTCTTGCGGCGACCATATTGATCTGGGGAGGGTGGTGTGGGTCGACATCCCGACGCCTTCGTCTCTGTAAAGGCGGCGGCTCTGGCAAAGCTTCCATAAAATCCAGGCTGGAGAGGCTTTCGGGTGGGTGATAAAGAAAAACTGCCTACGTAGCCGGCCGTGTTCGCTCGGCGTGGCGCGTTGTCGCGTACCTATATATAGCACGTGTTGGACGGAGCCGGTGCGACCGCGCCCGCCATCGCCGCACTGCTCGACGACGTCCGACGAAAGGTCAATTGGCGCGCAAATTATTTGCGTCGCAAAACCCGCAGCGTCGCTGCACCATCCCGACGCTATAAACTCACACATTTTAGAGCTATCTCCGTGTGCTGCAATATTATGAAGAACGGCCTGACTCGACGCATACCTAATTATGGGTCGCTCAGTCATCACAGATTTAACACTGCCCGCTCTTTAAGGCAAGAACGCGGCACGCATTCTTATCGGACCTCATAATAGACGTTGTGTAGCGACGGCTACGTAAACAGTTATATGTAGTTTCATCCTTTCCCGTATTGTTGGTCTGCAAAGAGCCACCTTTTTTTTTTTTTCCGTGCGGCAATCGCTTCGGTCACCACCTATCGGTGGCATGTCAGACTCGAACCGACTAAAACCGCACGCCGTCTCGGGTACTAATAGCCGGGGAACCAGGTATACCCTAGAAAGGAAGTCCCTGGTGCTGCAAATAGCCACCTGATAACTGCATTCGAAGATTGATTAGAATCTGTCAACAGATTATAACATTCAAAAATCATAGGCTCAGTTATTGTAGTTTAAAACAGCCTAGTGTTGATTAAAATGATTTCGAAGTAAATTGGTAGGTATATAGGTTAATGTTGACCATGTCTGGTGTAAAAAAATAAAAATAATAATTAGGGCCATGTCTTAGTAGGGATCATATTCTTTCGATCTATCTATATGAGGACAAAAACGGGTTTGAATTCAAGAAGTGGTCAATGGAGGCCGCGCCGAGGTGAGCGCTTCGCAGCACCAAGGTACTTGCGACGTGGTTAGTCACGCTTGGAATGAACGACTCAGCTTCAACTCTTACAAGAACATTGAAAACGTGTGACGACACAAGCCTGTACATCGACGCTGTAGCATACACGTGTTCTATGCAACACGTCTCACATATAAGTAGTATGCACATATCAGTAGCATACGCGAAGTAATTTAGACCAGTTTGTTCAAAAAGACGATTGTTCAAGATTCTACACTATGTTCTTATGTGCATAAATACTGGTTAAATTAAATTGTTATATTTTCGTATCCACAGTTTCGTTCAAGTTCTATCCTGCTGTCCTATGACTAAAAATATAAATGAATTAACTTGCCTTGTACTTAGCTTGTTTGTTTATATAGTCTAACGGCACAAAACAATTACAGTTTTGATTACATGAGATAGCATCGTTAGCATAATGGCTCAAACGTCGGCATTTCATTCGAGATGATGCGGGTTCGTAGAACAGAGCAACCGTCCAGTTAACCAGTTAACACACTACTAACAAAAAAGTTTAACTAATTCCAAGGAAGTATTTCGGTATTAAAAAAACGTTTGTATTACTAACGGGTAACGATTTTACCTATGACCATTCCCGAATTCATATTCGGGAATGGTCATGTCGCCGAGAGTAGAAAACTGTGGGCTTAACATCATTGTTAAGCCCACAGTTTTCTACTCTCGGCGACATAAGTTATACTTATTTAGTAAGGCTGTTTTAGTGCGAGAAAAATTATAGTCATTTTCTGGCGTTTTTAATCTATAAAACTTCATGAATTGTGATTGCCCATTTAACTCTAATTCATTATGGTAATTAATTAATTGTGGGCATTTTAATACTAATCACAAGTAATCACAACTGAATCATTAGGCTTAGGACATACAGCGAGCGTAGCGGGGCAGCAAAGCGGTTTGAGCAAATTGTGAGCCTTCTGTCTGCGTCAATGGTATTATTTTTTGTGAGCTAACTTACCAGCACTCGATAAAGGATCTGAAATAAGTGTAGATAGGCTTCGATCGAAGTTTTTCTTTGTCAAAAGTCTCTGTCAGTTGTAGATACATACAATGACCGAGTGATATCGACTAGGTATTATCATTTATCATAATTTGTGAAAAGCTATGAATATTGTAACTAGTGAGCCTGCGCTCTGAATGTTTTAAGCTATAAATCGCACCTTTAATAATAAACTGAATTAATTCAAAATTTACGTTTTTCGAGATTTCAACAAATACCAAATCAACTTCATCAGTAGAACACGAACAATCCAACAGCCGACTCGATACCATGAAAATGGCAGAGATAAGAGATCGTCGTTCTCTTTTTGACGAACTCGCACGTACATGAATGTCAAACTTTAAATGCGATTTCCCACAATATTGAAATTCTAAGTTAATTCAGTTTATGAATAAAGGTGCGAAATGTGAACAATGGTCATAAAATAATCATACCAACGGAAACAAAGCATAGCATTTCCTTTGGTCATATTTATATACACATTTTTTTTTTTAATTTTAACAAAAGTTTCAAGTGTCACCATATAAGTAAGTCGTTTGCACTTTTGCACCAGGATGTTGGCTACCCAGTTAATATGCAAGTCAAGTTTAAGTACTTTTAAATTGTTTAACAGTGTATTCGAATGGTTTTTTATTTATTTAAAATTCGAATACAGAAGTTTAATGTCAATTGCTCATCGAAGTTTATAAAATACTAGCTGACCCGCGCATCTTCGTCTGCGTCTCTCAATAGTAATAAATTTTCTCCGTTTTTGAAACATTCTTCATTGGTGCTCCGCTCCTATTGGTCTTAGCGTGATGATATATAGCCTATAGCCTTCTTCGATAAATGGGCTATCTAACACTGAAAGAATTTTTCAAATCGGACCAGTAGTTCCTGAGATTAGCGCGTTCAAACAAACAAACAAACAAACAAACAAACAAACTCTTCAGCTTTATAATATTAGTATAGATTACATTATTGTTGCAGCAAAGTTAATTGTTGAAGTGAGAAACATTAATTGCTTAGAAACCACATCAAAGTAATCAAGTCGCAACCCACGAAATGCTTATTATTGAGTAGCTCCATTGACCATTAATGGTCTTTAGCATCACTCCCACTACATCAAATTAGTCTTTCCAACTCGATTTACTGTAACCTAACCTGATGACAAAACCTAGACTTACAAACACATTAAAAATTTTTTAAATCGGTCCAGCCGTCATCAAGTAATCGGCAACATAAAAAAATAAAGAATATCTCTTTTTATGAAGTCTGTTAATAAAGCAAAGTAGCTTTATTTACACGCAGTTAAAATTATTCGTTTACCGATTTCTTCACAAGTAAGAACGCAAAAAAAGTTTCATTTATTTACTGATGACTCCAATCTCAATAGATGTAAGATTGAAAAAAAAACGATAGGTGTGCGACCATCAAATGAAAGGAAAAGCGTCCTCCATAAACACCAAATGACCTGTCTCGGGAATCGAACTTGAACGAAACGAGAGTGAAAGTAACGTGCTGTTATTAACATAACGATTATAATATTAAGCGTTCTCAACACAGTTCTACGATTCTGAATAATGGGAATATCTTCTTACGTCTCATATCGCATAGCACTTCATTTACAGGTTATTACTAATGTCAGAAGCATTTTAATGAAATCGTAATTAAAATGCATTCAAGATTGAAGCAATTCTTTTAGTAGACTCATAAAGTTCTTGTTTGGCGAAGCGACAACAGCGAAGTCAATTAATTAATAATAATATTATCTGATAAAATCCTTGGCAATAGGATTCTTGAAAACGAAATGGGCTCTTAGAGCAGAAATCTACCAAAATGGCATTAGTAAAAATAACTTTTTTATAACATACTCTTTATAATATACGGAACTCCGAGATAATTTTTGTACAATATGTAGAACTAATCTGTTTGTAGTAGCTTTCAATCCTCGACCTCGCAAGCACATTTCCTGTGCTCGTTATAACGATAGGTATACGAAACACGCGTATTTTAAATATATATATTATATTATTTATTTATTATTATTTTTTATTTATTTTTTTATTTATTTTTTTATATATATTTTTATATATATTTTACGCGTATTGCGTTTTCAAATGCACTATTATAATCAGTAGTTGTAAATTGCTTTGTAATATGTTAAATAAATAAAATAAAATAAATAATAAATTTGAATACAACTTTTGTCAAACTTATGGAGATCTGAATGTACCATCTGAATCTACCATACTTTTTAATTATTTTTTCTGGTTATCTATGTTAAGCATTAAAACTGTATTACACCCTAAATGACGGAAGCAAAACATGTATTTGGTTTGTAAAATTAATGTAACTAGTGTCTTAGTAGACTATGTCTTCACTATATTAATGTGTAGAGTAGATTTAAAACAAATTGAATTTTGTAAATCACCAAAGTATTGCGCTATGAATACAGGTCATAGGAAAAGTACATCTCGTAGTCGTAGCAGCCTAACAAGTCGCCATGCTCACTAACAAATCGTCGAAGGTTACAAATTCGATCCTAACATAAGACATTGACAAAAGCGATTTATTGAGGGTCTCGTTGTTGCGTTGGCTTGCGTACCTGTTAATTTAACATTTGTAAAATACTACACAACCTGAAGATCTTCAACAAAACATGTAGCTCTGAAGCTCAAATACAGGGTTATTTTGACGGCGATCTTTTCCACCTTATACTACATCGATGAACCATATAACCAGGGCCGAACACTTGTTTACTTTGTTAAACGAAAGTAGATCGTATTTCATTGCAACTAGAGACAGATTTCTTTTACGTTCTGAACTACGAACGCGACTCAATCTTTTCAGGTAGTTCTTAAGCATCAAAAAGTACTTACCTACGTTATTAAATATTGCAATTTAGATAATAATTCATACTATAACATGGTGAGTTATAAATCAAACTAACTCCAAATTTTTTTTTTCTCACTTTCCTCACTACCCACTGTTATTGTGCGGATGACATTTTGTTAGATATGTACCAGACCAGCTAGCCAGGCAAGGGTTACATAGGACAAGCTAATGTCCTTATATTAAATAAAAGTATTGAGTGAAGTCCAACCTAAGTATTTATAGAGATTATTCTAGGTCGAAATGTCTTAAAAATTATTAATAAAAAAAAAAGATTCTCGTAAATGAATCCTTATTCAAGAATTATATACAGAATTAAACCTTCATTTCATTATTTAGATTTGTATATTAGCAACTTTAAACCGTCATGTTTTGTACTACCAAGGTTAATATGTATCACTCGTTTGTACATACTGTAATATGATTTTATATGCGGGGTTCTTTCATCTTTCACTATACAGAAGATTTGGACTCTGCGGCGTCCTACAACTTACAGTAGTCAGACATAGGTAGGTACTTACTTATGTACATAGTTAATTTAGGTTTCAAGCCTATTTTTGCGCTCCTTTTTATACACATATAGGTATATGTAGTAAACATAGAACGTGGACACACTGTTAAAGGAATTAACAGCGAGCTCGCAGAGTACATAACTACCTACATTGAATAGTTATTACTGGTGTGGTAAAATAAAAGTGTGTTTTGGTACTATCGCGGCACTCATCGTTCAGTTTCAATCGGTTTATGCGTACCTATTTTGCAAATGGTGTTCAACAAGCTACTTAACGTACGTGTGCTATTTTTATGTTCATTGTGACAAATAAACAAGGCGTCACTCGGGCGCGCTGTGGCGACGGCCGCAGCGTGCGTGCGAACATTGCGTGCATGCCTACATCGCATAGGTAGATAGTCGTCGACGCCCGTGGTAGAATCGACATCCCTGCATCCCCGGACTGCGCCGGCTGTGCCGCTCTATAAATACACAGCAGGTGTGGTGAGAGCGCGGGGTGCGACGGGCGCGGGGCGAGGGGCATCCGCCTCTGCAGCGCTCCAAACCGCTCACAACGGCCATCGGACCTTAGCGACGCCATATCGATTGCGAGGGCTCCCCCTGCGGCCCGCCGCCGCCTCCATTGTGCTCGGGCTGGGATGCCTTCTCCGTACGTTTCCTGCCGCGGCCTGTCGACGGCCCCGCGCCCTGTCCTCAAAGTCACGTCCGGCAGCTGTCGACGACTGGCTTAAACGATACATGAGCCACTTTTGATAACATTTTCGCATGTCGAAGGCGTTAATCACCACACTCGAGCGAATGAGTTCTTGATACTCTACCATATTTTGTCTGATAGCTGAAATACCAATACACTCTACATAATATGTACTAGGAATCATATTCACTTTTAAAAACATTATTAAGACCTTTTGCCTCTAACTTTTTACAATCTAAAATATGAAACGCAATATACGAGTACAAGACCATTAAAGTTACACGATCTCAAATATAAACTTAAACAGGTGACTAACGTAATAAAGCGACAATAGTTCAAAACATCAAGGAAGTTTAAGGTCGACAATAGATTTGTAAGGACGACAACAAGATTTTGGAAATTGCATTCAAGACGAGCTATGACGAGCTATGAGCATAGTTTATTGTCGAAATAGGAATATGCTCTCAATAACAATAATATTATGTAAATCGTACAATTTCGTCACTTACTCACGACACAATAAAATATGTGTATATATGTCAATAAAACCAAGATAAGAAGATACACTATAAATATCGACTATGCGTCTTTTATTTGTATTACTTACTAGAGGCGACTAGTGAGTTGGTAGAGAAGTATTGTACACCCACCTTTACCGCCACGCTTCTTACCTTTAAGTATTTACAATTTATATTTAAAAACTTTGTGATACCACTCAGGCGTTTTGAAATAGAAAACCCCCATTACAAGTTACCCCCGAAATCGTAAATATCTCGTGATTGCACGCAAACATGAGCAAAACACAAAAATCTAGCCACACACCCCTTTTTACGACGTTCTCGAACATCCTGGGTCATCAGCATTACCGCGGTATCCGGTCGCGTCTCGAAATCGGGCTGACTGAAAAATAAACTATGCATCATACCTTCATGCCTTCATAGAAAAATGTGTAAACTGCTTACAACAATATTGTTTACCTACGACATGAATCGAATGTTCACATAGTTCTTAGATACCATAAAGAATTATGTAGGTAATTCGGCAAACATTACACAACCAGAAGAAGAAGATTTGATCACAGCTAATGGACCTATAATCGTTGTTATTTCAGTGCGAAGTAGTTGTTGGTTAACACACAAATGTAAAAATCTTTGTTTAACTCCTTTGATCCTTTAACAAATAATTCACTATCAAGTTGACAACCGTCATCGGTCCTTTATTCTGATAAGTTAGGACGGCAAAATAGTATTATAAGAATCCTCGGTATTTATAGTCATATTAGGCATACATAATCAATTTTTGTTTCTTAGAAATATAAAAATGTTAAGTTGTTTTGTGTACGCTTCAAGAACTCCAAGAGTTCTGCACCGATTAAGCTTAAATTTTAACATGACATACAAACAGCTTCATAGTGTTTTGTTTATATTTCGCGTAATTTTTTTTCCTCATTTCTCATTAATGCAACCACAATGTGCCACAGCGAATGGTAGGGCACAGCGAAGGGTACAGCTATTAGGAAATAAAACATGCAAAATGTACCAATCGTATTATAACACCTCTGTTATCAAAGTTATTAATAACTACATTTACTACTGCATACGAATGTACATTTACACACAATTCAATACAATCATATTCAATGGTTATTTGCTATCCCAGTGGTAGAAAAATATCTCTATTCATCTTTTTACACTATCGACAATATGCACATGAGACCATAGGTGTTTGCAAGCATCAAAACTGGCCATGTGCTTGTTTGTCACCTTAGTACTATAAGAAATTTCAGTCCTTTACGAGGAATGACAAAACAATATATCATCCTTAGATCATGGTTCATTTCTCATACAAATACATATATGTATATCAACTAATATACATGAATATATCATTGAACTGATAGCCGTAGCCACGCTACATTCGATTTGCAGTCTTATGTTTAAATTTTAGGACTTAAAATCACTAAACGGTTTCAGTCAAGTATCACAGCTGTTGGTTGACATGCCGCTTTTCGTATAGCTTCGTAAACTATCTTATAAAAATTGTTCCATCTGTTATTAACTTTATAACCGTTAGCATAAGGTTGTTAATTGTGTTACACGATTCGTCTTTATTTTAACCGATTCTGGTAAGTTGAAGAAAGTTAGCTTGTTCGTGAGGTGTTTGGAATGACTGATAAATACATGTCTTTACCAGTTCAACGCGACCCGATGACATACGTTTAGGGAGGTGAGACATTAACAGAGTATACATAGCCGTTTGCTCTCCTTTCGTAAATAAACATCTCTATCTAATCCTAAAACCTTTCCGACTCTACATACTACTCTACATTTTTATAAATCTAATTAGATATTTTTTCTCTGCATTTTACAGCTACTAATCTAAACTCTTATTATTTTAAAGTAATACATTTATTAATGTACTTATTTCAATTTTGTGCCTTAAACTTATATACACAGTTTACAAAAGAATGGCAGTATTAAATAAAAGATTCAGTTATTGAAAAAGACATCAACGCTTTCGCAATTGACATATTTTTCATATACTTACTAGCTTTTGTTAGTTATTTATCTATTATTAAGGAACATGTTTCCTTTTGATGTTACTATTTCTATATATTAAGATATTTAAGTAGATCATCATATTACTTTTAAACTTCTTTTATGTAGGTACATCTACATCATACATTTTATTATACAGATTGCTTATCAAGTAGGTGTGTAAAAGTAGTGCCTAGGTAAACAGTACAAAGACGACTGACTAAAACCATTAGAGCCCACCATCATCCCTTACGTACTTATATCGTACTAAGTACAGTCGCCAACATATTAACTTGCTTTTACATGAAAAAAATATTGTCGACAACATCTACAAAGTCTCATTAGACCGTTGGAGGTCGTCCGCACCGGCTCCCCTTGCCATCGAGGATGAAAAACATACGAACATGACATCGGAGGGACCCTCCCGCCCGCGCCGCCCTCGGGCCCGACCGCCAGCCGCCGCACCGCCGCTTGTCGGTCTGCTTGCCTGAGTGCCGTCCGAGGCCGCCTCATGCCTCATTCAGCTAGCGACGCTCTCGCGCACCGCACACGTGCCGCTGCATCGCGCCGCGCGACACTGTGCACCCCTCGCACCACACGCCGCGCGCCCTCCCCCGACGTTTAACCGACAACGAACATTGTTTTGTTGCAGTGGAGTATGCTACAGCAGATGTCCTCGCCGCCGAGCGCACAAGTTGGCGAGGCCGCGACTCTCTTCGGGCGCTACCTTGAAGGCCGCGCCGATGGAGACGTCTCTTCAGAAGCCTCCTCCGACGCCGCTGAAGATTTCGAGTTACCACAGTGTAAAATAAGAAGGAACTATAATTGCACTAAGTGCACGTTTTATACACAGAACCCGCGTGCTTTTCTCGTTCATACGCGTGACGCTCACTTTGTGAAACTGAAAATTTTCGATTGTCCACATTGTGTTTACGCATCCAAACATCACCAAAAACTTATAAGACATATAAAAATGGTTCACGAAGAAGTTGAAACACGAACTCCGAAATCTAATTCATTAGCAAAATTAAATGTTGAGGTACCCAACTCCACACACGATGATCAATCTATGTGTGTAGAAGATTTGTTAGAAGAAGTAGAAGAATGTGAAGATATGATGATGGAAGTTGAAGAAGAACCCGACTACTCAATAGAACAGGCCGACGACATCGACGTCGTCGACGACTTAACAGCAGAGCAATCAGCGCCCTCAAACCTATTAAAAACAAAGAATAACGTTAAATTTTTCACGTGCGATAAGTGCACCTATGTTACCCACATAAGAGCTAGATTTACTAAACACGTCAAGTACCACTCTATGCCTATGATCAAGTGTACTATGTGTGACTTCCGGACTCCGTATAAGTGGAACTTGGACCGGCATATGAAGAATCACGGTGGGAGCGGAAGTTTTCATTGTTCCATGTGCAACTTTACTGCGGACATCAAACAGAGTTTGACGGTTCACGAAATGAATCATCACACACCGCCAGCGGGCCAATCGTTGGTGGGTCGCCGTCGCAACCGGGTGGGTGCCAGCGACACGGTTATCGCCGAGTACGACGCAGCGAGCGCGGCGCTCCCCAAGGAGGAAGAAGGGAGCGGCGACTCGCGGTCCTCACACTCGGTCTCGGTGAGTTGCCGTCGTATGTATACGTGTTGCGTGGCGAGGGGCCGCGCCCGGCCGCTGGCCGCCAGCCGCCAGTAGTGTCGCTGACGTCACTCACTTGTCACTGTTATCATGAGCAACTCTATCGCACATGGATTGCACTTAACATCATGCCATATCACTCCTTTTTTACGTTAGTGTATGCATATTTCACAACAGCTATATTTTGCTTCGCATGCCTTATATGCTCGTTCTATCTATATATCAATATTAGCACTAATTAAGTCATAATGCAAATAAATATTCTCTGTGAAAAATCTTACAATCCGAAGGTAAACTGAAGATACACAATTTGATAAAAAAAAATACCAGTTAACTTACTGACCGATTACGGAATTAACCACCGATAAACATTAATATGATTACTCGTACAGTACATAATATATCAACATTTATTTATTTCATTTATTTTCAAATTATAACTTAAGTGTAATTTTTCATAATGGAATAAAATGCAAGTGTTAATTATCAAAGTAAACAAAAACAAACTTTACTGCTATCAGTAATATATATCTAAATGCACAAATTAATTTGAGTTTTAAAGCCCGAAATGATTCGAATATGTAATTATCATAGAAGCCGAAATTCTAAAAGGTCGTAAGTGCTACAATACCAATAGTAATTATAATACTCTAAAGAAATTCAGTTAACGACGTATTTTATTTGTCTAACGTGCTGACAGCTCTACTCGTACTTAATGAAGCCTTAAAACTTAACCCTCTATTACGTATTGTATACTTTTGTATTATTCTTTATAAAATTTTAGTGCTTATACATATCTTGGTAAATTATAAGTATACAGAGAGTACAAGACAAATACAGTAGGACCAAGGTAAAACTTTTTTTTGATAATTTGGGGATTGAACCCACAACATTAAACGTCGCGATGGTATACAATTGAGCCAACTACAATTGCATCTTTTCTGTAATAATCTAATAAAAATGTGGATTTCTATAAACTTTTTAGTATTAAGTAACTGTTTTAGTATTAAGAAGTTCACAAGCTTCGGGACGAGAATACGAGAAATAAGTACGGCTATAAAACTAGAGCCAACTCTTTTAACTACAAAGTGCTGTTTAAAACAATTACTTTTTTGGTGCTGTTTAAAACAATTACTTTTTAATGATATATCATTTAGCCCAATACGAAACTATATTAAATAATTATAACGATAACGTACTTTTTATATTATTTTGATGGTAAAAACTTTATTGAGAAAGACTGATTTTGATATAATTATTATCAAAGTATGTGACCGTATAACCAGTAAACAATTAAACTAGTAAACAGCTTTTAAGACTCACTTACAATAATAATATCAATACAATAATTTTGATTTAAATATTCATTCCCGAAAAAACAAGTAATATTAAAACAGTTAGGTAATTATTATTTTTTCTCGGTTAGCTAACATTTAGGTAAAGTTTTGTTTTTCATAAGAATAAATATTATGTACTAAAAGTATCGGGTAAACGTAAAGCAAATTTAATTAATTTTACTACACATCGTTTAAACCATCACATCATCATCACATCAACAGTCTTTAATAGTCCACTGCTGGACATAGGGCTCTCCTTAGAAAGAAGGTTTTGGCCTACAATATCACGATGGCCAGACCCAATACCAACCAGGTTTGTGTCAAGTTTTCCTTCTTTTTGCAGTGCTGGTGTCCTGCGCTGTTTTCCGCCCTTAGTCGGCTCTTACGACACCCACCGGATAAATTGGGGTAGTGACATTCCGTATTCTTAATCCGTCACTACATAGTTTAAATATAATGTGTATAGTCACTTAAGATTAAAAACTTACGAGTATATTGGCGCTTTGTTTTTCCCGTAAAATAAAAAAATAGTATTATAATGTATTACTCTACATACTAATATATTATAAATAATTATAAGACGTCACAACGAACTCAGCCCCTTTTTAACTGTAGGTATATATTTTTTGAAATAAGACTTAAACTTTTGAGAATAAAATATTCAAAACAAATAAAACTGAAGATAAACGTTATGGTTTCATATCAGCATTAGAGGAATCTATTAAACTCACCTATGCTATTTTTATACTTTTATTAAGTTTATTGTAGTAGTGTAGCTTAAACAGGTAAGAAGACTGTTTTTTTTTTAAATCTGTGTATTAAAAACACTTAAATTTAAACTCAAGGCCTTTCCGTAATCTATTGATATTTCTGATTTCACTAAAAACATAAGGTGTTTAAACTAAATTCATTCTATGACATAAATAATAAATAATTAATTAGTACAATTTAAAGTGACGGATTAAGAATACGGAATGTCACTACCCCAATTCATCCCGTGGGTGTCGTAAGAGCCGACTAAGGGCGCAAAACAACGCAGGTCACCAGCACTGCAAAAAGAAGGAAAACTTGACACAAACCCTATACCAACCCGTCTGGCCAGCGTAGTGTAATAGGCCAAAACCTCCTTTCTAAGGAGAGGCCTATGTCCAGCAGTGGACTATTAAAGGCTGATGATGTGATGTGTGATGCAATAAAAATCTTTAGATACTTCGAAAATGCTAAATGCTTCTCCTAAAATGCGTGGTATTTATAATGTTTACTTTACGGGTACGGGATTTCCGAAAATTTGTTAATTTTAATTTTAATGAAACAGCAAAGACCGCAGGGTAATGTTTAAAAGAATACTATTGTTTAATAGCAGATAGACACATGATCACAAGACTGTTATAGCTTTCAATACTAAGCATCATGCTGAAAATTTCGAAATACTTTAAAATTATCGAAATAGATGTGAAATGACATTTGAAGATTTTTTAATTTTAGTTGCAATTAGAAGTGGCAAGACAAAAAGAAAAATACAAAAAAATAACCTGGAAGTCGTACACTATTTTATCTGTTCTTTTCCCTACCACATTATACAGATGTTAAGGTCTTTATTTGTTATATGCACATTAAATCCCGATAAATAAAGCTTCTTGAATAGGTTAATCCTATTCCAATTATTTCCTATATAAAAATATTTGCAAAATTTTATAACATAATTTAAAAAACTTCTGTTCATATCGAACTTTGATACACCTGACATTTTTTTTACAAATACATCATTAAACTTCATTGGTAAGCGAACTTTTAATTTAGTGAAATTAAATTGAAAACTTTTTATTTTTTTCAGGAAATGGGTCTACAATACGCTGACAGAGAAATAGTTGGCTGCAAAAGCGACTCTAATGATGGCTCACCCTCCGAAGCCCCAGACAAAAGGGATAGTCAAAGTTCACCCAACCAGAGTTCAGATGAGTCCAAACAAAAACATAACAGAAAAATTCCACGACCAATACCGCAACTCATTCCATTGAATTCCTCAACGCCCAATCAGAAGCAAACAACTACTGGTGAGCCACCGCAAAAAAAATTCAAAGAATCTTTACCCGAGGACTTAACTGATACGAAATCAAACAGAACTGAAATTTTAACCACTGATATCACTTTATTTCCTGTCAATAATTCATCAAGTAAAGAATTAGGTGGACGCAAGAAAAATGAATCCTTTTTTGATAGACTTAAAGAACGGCTGCTTACTGAGACTGGGGCAGAAGGCTCTCTTGTATGCAAGAATTGTGGGTTTGAAAGTAAATGTTTATCAGAACATTCGGTACACGAGAAAAATTGCTCGCCACAAGCTAATCGAACGACTGCAAATGCGCCGCATTCAAGCTTAAGTTCTACACGATGTCAAAATTGCAGGCATAGATGTAAGTCGAGTGCAGATTTATATGTTCACATGAAAACTTGCGGCAAAAGTGACAAAGTTGAACACGACAATAATTGCCAAAATAAAAATGATGACAGCAATGACACCACTACTACTAATCAAGAGAAAGAGTTAGAACGCCATCCTATGGAAAATGTTGTTTTCGTTTGGAATAACATTGATCAAGATACCAACAAATTTGACACTCCTTTAGGTATCAATATAAACGATGACTCTACTTTACCGGGAGCAAACCGGAACTTTGATGTAGAGATCATTGATGAAAATGAAAGCATGAATTTATCACCAAGCCAAGCAGTCGGGAGAAAAGTATTTAAGTGTCCACACTGTCCATTTTTCTCCACAACCGCTTCAAGATTTCATGTCCATATTGTTGGCCACTTGAACAAAAAGCCCTTCGAATGTTCTTTATGTAAATATAAATCAAACTGGCGGTGGGACATTACGAAACATATAAAACTAAAGTCTGCAAGAGATCCGGAACACAACGATGCTAAAGTACTAATGACTGATGAGACAGGAAGAAGGAATTACAGCAAGTATAATAAATTTCTGGCAATGCCAGTATTAAACGAATTTGGAGAAAATCAGTTCCACTATTTGGATTGTAACACATCGATAGACGGATCCATGGAAATCGATGATTCATTCCATGATATGTCAGATGTTATGAGTGCTCATTATGAAATGCAACCCCTGAATCTGCAAACTCAGTACGGTGACGAGAAGTATGACTTGCTTGATGGGAGGGGTCTAAGTTTCAATGATATGAAGAAACCTAAGAAAACTTTGTGGAAATGTAAAAAATGTAATTATAAGTAAGTTACTATATATATTACTTTAATTATCTGACTAGTTTTATAAAAAGAAATTAAAGGGTTAAACTAAAACAATTTCTTTTTCGTATTTCCAGGGACCCATCAAAAGAAGCTCTATTAGAACACGTTCGTGAGCATTCTAAGGATGGAATGCAGGAAGATCAGCTCAAGCCTACCGCCTCTAAAAAAACTGAAAATACTCCCGATCCAGCTGACTTGGCGTATCGTTGTGGCCACTGCCACCAACTCTCTAACTGGAAACATGTGATACAGGTGTGTTTAATCATCTGAATCTATATATTCTTTAACTACTCTGACTTGTCTTCACCGAATGAGGATAAAAAACTAAGAGAAGACGAAATAGTCACGGTTTCTTTTGTATACAAGAAAATCACGTAGCTTTTCTATTAATAACCGCAGCTAATTAGTTTACTGTAGTGTACACTTTCTTGCTTCAGACAATGTTAAGCTGTTGACGTTATTTTGTTCTGATGAAGAGCCCAAAAGAATTGAGAGTGAATATTAACTTGTCTGTCTAAAGTAAATTGTAGATTTAAGCTAAAATCGTACCTGTAATTACGATTGAGCTAGCCGTTTTATGTAATCTGAAAACCCGAGTGTTATCAACACAGTGATAGCTCACAGGAACATTTAAATATGTTCACTTTCCATTAAGTGACCCGTCCGTAAACGTTTACCCCCCAATATTATAAAAAAAAAATCGGTTGTCTGTAAAGTCGGTTTACTGACGATAGTTAAACGTGACAACGTCATAAGAAAATACTGATGGAATGGTTGCATTTTTCAAGAATGTATTATTGTATACGAGTAGCAGCTGTCCACGCGGACGCATCGCTCACTCAAGTAGGAGAGTAGCAGATGTCGAACGCTGCCGAACGCGGAGGCCGATTGTGCCTCTTTGTCACTCGTTCCGCGCTCTCGCTTGCACTTCAAGCCTTAAATGGAACGCCTCAGAGCGAGGTAACGCCGCATGAGTCATGTTTTTTCGTGCGTGCAGCCGGCTCTATCGAATTATAAGACGTTGTTACGTCAAAAGTAAGTGCCAATGTCAGTTATTGAGTAATAACATGGAGGCTTATTGGTTTCATTAATAGTTTTAAGAAACCTGTTACATAAAACTTTTACCCCATCAAAACCATAACATAAAAAAGCCCAATCTTGCAAGTTGCCAAGAAATCCTTCTTCGCAACAAAAAAACAGATATAACTTTTTTCAATTTATTAATTATCAATATAAAGACATCCATAATTATTTAATAAATAGAATCACTTGGTAACGACGCCGCTATGTTAGTTTATACATAAAGGTTTAATTCAGCGGACAAAGACAGAAGCGCAAATGAGATCTTGAAAGCCAGTCATGCCCGTACATACCGTTTGGACCTCAGATTTATTTATGTCATGGTCATGGATGAATAACTGGTGGATGTCTCGTCAGAATGCGCAAAGACTTTATTAGTTGCTATAGGTAGGTAATAGGTAGAGTTCAAAATGATATTAATATTGATAAAACATTGACGTTTTAAATGATCGGAATGTTATTGAAAATGAACAACGTTGGTATCAGCATGCTAAGTCCCTCTTTGACTCCTGACAAAGACAAGCTTTGAGCATTATTTCGATTAACTAGTCTGCAAGCGTTACTTAAAGTCTGAGTCTTTTCTTTTACTTTTCTTTCCTTTTTATCCCCGCTAGGAGTACGTAGGTACCTCGCGCAAAAGGACTCCCGTCGCCCTCTCGAAATATTTTGCCTATCTTATGATAATTAGAGTAACTTGGGAGATATTATAACATAATTTCTCTTGAGAGAGATCACAATTTTAGCAAGCGGCTTATGACAACATTTTGAATCTCAATAAAACTAAAATTCAATCCACAATCTTAGCAATACAATTATTTTGATTAAGAAAATAATGAACATTTATCTTTATTTCAGCGACACTGCCGTTTGAAGCACGATGGCGTAATAAAAGTTATAACGACAGTGAAACCAAAACCAGACCCCGTGAGCATAAATGACATCAACGACACGTGTAATAAATGTCCCTTCAGATCAAGCGATAAAAAACTGCTTATTGCCCATCTACAACAACATCAGCCATCACCGCAATCAGTATTTAAATGTTACTTTTGTCCCTATTTCGTAAAAGATGAAAACGAGCTGTCGCAACATCTTCTTGTACACGGCATCACGGAACCTGAAGATTACATTTCAAAAGCCATGGAAGACAAATCACCTTTACAAGAACAGCAATCAAATCCCTCATCATGTTCAACGAAACGTCATAGATGTACAGAATGCCCATATGAAACAAATAGCAAGTCTCAATACATGTACCATGAACAGTTTCACCGCACACCTTCAGACACACCTTACAAATGTCCAGAGTGCAACTACAGCGTGTCCAAGAGACATCTATTGCACCAACATTTAAGAGTTCATGGAATAATCACAAAAAGGTTGGACGTAGAATATGGTTTAGAGCAGCCATCGACATCACAGAATAAAACTGATGGTAAAATAGATTCTGAAGGCAATATTTATGAAGAAATACCGTACGTCTGGGTGTCTGCTAAGAATGAGTTCCATAAAATGTACAAATGTCGATACTGTTCATACGTTAATTCTATGAAATGCAAAATTCCAAATCACGAAAATCTTCATTTTCTTGTTTTTGAAAATAATGATACAACCATTTATAAGTGTCTGGAATGCAAATTCACTTGTAATAATGCCGGTAGGCTTGCAGAGCATTCTAAAACACATGGAGAAATATATGGTCGTATTTACTGTCCTGTTGAAAATGACGTTCCAGATGATGAACAAATTGCAAAGTTAAGAAAAGTTATTGAAATGGATAAGGGCATAGAAAACTTTCCCAAAGAAGAAGGATTAAATGAGAGCAGAGAGATCAAAATGTTATACTTTTGTCACAAGTGTCCAGCCAGATTTTTCGAAGATACTGAATTAGAAAGTCACATTACTTTCCATGACTCCACATTGCCAAATAAATGTAAGAGCTGTGAGTATTCGGTATCTGAAGAAAATGATTTAGCAACACACGAAACAGTGCACACAGATGAATATCATACAAAAACTAAAATTCTAAAATTTCTGCATAACTCACATCCTACTTACAAGCAGCCTCGATTAGAAATGGCATCTATTTCTTCCGAATCTGAAATCAGATGGATATCTATTGGACCAACGGTTGAAAATATTGAAAGAAATACAAAAAAATCGCATGATACAAAACATGTGCCAAAGCAATATTGTTGTAAGCTATGCCCTGCTAAATTCTTTAAAAGTTCAGCTCTAAACTATCATGCAGCCTTACATGGAGGAGAAGGCGATCATAAGTGTAGGAAATGTAATTATGCTGTCAAAAACATAGGCAACCTTGCTAAACATGAGATATTACATGAAAAAGAAAACAAACCTTCAAATTGCGATTATGAGTCTGGTGAAGACATGGATTATAAGAATATTCCACTATCAGGCACAGATTTGTTCCAGAGAAAGACTGAAGCTCAGAAAAGGGTGTTAATAGATAAAGATAAATTAGTTAAGCCAAATGATCATTTTCCGCCTGTCTTACAAGCTGATCCACAATTCGGATATTTGATGCACGGTAATCCTGAATTTATATATCCCACTTATCTGAAAAATGGCCGACAAAAAGAAAAACGTTATAAGTGTCATAAATGTCCCTCAGCATTTGAGAAACGAGAACAATATAAAATCCATCTTTCGTTACATGGTTCCAAGCAAAGATATAAATGCGAGTTATGCGATTATTCTGTGAAATATTATGCTAATTACGTGCAACATATGAGGAAACATCAAATGAACGATGAGGCACAAGCAGAAAGAAAGAAAGGTAACAATGGTTTTGTTATGTCTGAAAACCAGGACATTAAACAAGATGACAGTACAGATAATATTAAACTTGCAATTAAAACTATCCCAAAAGGACCTCCGAAAAGCGATTTCCAACAATTCTCCATAAGTGACCAGCAAACTCTTCGACTATTACAACGGAGAAGGTCAATAAATGACTGTGGTAAGGACCTAAATACGAACGAATCTTCTCCGACCAAAGAACGTAAGATGCACATGTGTTTATTGTGTCCCTATACAAATCAACGTCAGGATTCCCTAACAAACCACTATAGGAGACATGGTGATACAGACGCTTTAACTGCTGCAAACCATAAATGTTCTCATTGTGATCTTGTAGTAGTACAGTCACATTTTCTTCGGGAGCATTTAAAGACACATTTCAATTACCACAAGACTCTTACGCCTGAATGTTTTGTGGCAAACGAAGACGTTAGCTTTATGATAACTAGGATTGAAGATGAGGGTAGTAAACCAGTTGATCTCAAGTTAAATGTGCAAAACAAGATATTTGACTGCAAAGAAGAAAAAATGTATGTAAAGATTGCAACAGGTGAACTGTTGGCTGCTTGGGAGTAATGCTTAATTTTATTTTTAGTCATCTTTTAGTAATAGTTAAAATAGTTAACATTTATAAAGAAATGTTTATAAGAATAGTTTTAGTATAAGCCAAATGAAAAATGTTGATGTTCACCAAAGCATAGCTTGCCATATTAGATTTTAGCAATTCTGGCCATTATGGATATAAATTAAGAAATTACACAAAATTGATAAAAATAACCACACAAATAGCTGCTATTGAAGAAAAATTAGTTAATACAAATTATGTAAATGTACTGATGTTACCAGCAATACAATTTAAACTGGGACTGATAAAAAGTTCCACTTTGTTGAATGATGAAAAGCATAATCTGCTTAATGTTCCAGCTTAAGGCTTGCCTTAAGTTGCATAGGTAACTAATACTTAACTATTTTGTAATGCTCCACTACACTCATTAACAGACAATACATTACTGTAGTCCTATACTGAAAGAGAAACCATATATTTATATGTAATAGTATGCTGAATTGAATACATGAAGAATTTATACCATATTGTAAAAATGATTGTAATCATGGTTTGTATAGTGCCAGTTTTATAAACTTTAGGGTTTGTCCTAAAGGACACATTCCTTGCAAAATGTTTTATAAATATATATAATTATTCAAAGCTGACTGCAGTTTCATTTTAAACATTCCTTTCTTAAAATAAAAAAAAGAATATTTCACTTAAAGCAGATTCATTTATTAATGTTTAAACTAAGTTCACCTTATCTACTAAACATGATTTCATAGTCAATGACAGTAGTAAGGTGTAATTCAATTAGCAGAAACAAAAACCACATTTAAAAATGTAAATATACTTGATACAATATAGTATCATACAGTATGGGGTACACTAGTCACCTTGGTATAAATAAAAGCAGTCTTAACAGAATTTCCAGCGATTTCCACATTCATTACAGAGCACAAAAGTGGTCATTGGTTCATCCGAACTCCTGGTCTGCAATTGGTTGTATGTGCAGTTCTTCTTTTTGCATTTGCCACATTTGAGCATCTCAGTTTTAGTTCCCTGTACTGTAGCCAGTTGAGCATCATCTATAGCCTCTTTAATGAACTTTTCTCTCAGTTTCTTCATTTCATCACTAGCCATCTCCTCTGGAGTCATTTTAGCGAGGCGAGCAGCTGAAACTACCCCGTTGAGATAGTTAGTGCGTAGTGTTGGGTTTTTAGGATCCTTGAGATTGGCCACCCTTGATCGTACTCTATTTTTGTAACGCATATCAGTGTTCTTAAACTCAGCATAGATACATTCTTCGAGTTCTTCAGCTAGCTCTTCAGGGCTAGCACATGCACTAGAATTATCACCATCCACTTTAAGAGCTTGCATCAGAAGTTCTCGACATTTCAACCTCACAGCATCAGTAGTATTTGTCTGTGGGGGAAATGATGCAGGTAGTTTCTTGTCTTTTTCTTTTTCTTCCTTCTTATCCTTGTCTTTACCTTCTTTTTTAGATTTAGATGAGCTGCCATTATCCTTACCCGGGGTTGACAGAAACTTCTTCCAATTTTTAATCAATGTTTTGCACAAAGATATTACTTCCTCATCCTTGCTGGATTTGCGGAGGGCATTCACTGTCATACCTATTCTTGTTGTCGTCAATAGCTCCAAATTGACTGCCATTGTCTGCAGCGCCTTTAACAGCTCTAAGGCTTCCTCTTGCCCCTAAAACCGAAAAATAATAAACAAAAATGATTTAATATGATAGCCGCTAGCAAAGCGTCTGTAGCGGCTTCAAGCAGGTAAGTTAAACAACAATAATAATACAACTTAATCATATAAATGCAACATGGTAATGACTTAATAATAACTAATGAAGAGACAAAGCTATAATGTAAATCAGTATGTTACAAAGATAACATGGAATTCTATTATATACTTTCGCAGTATTCTATATTTTCGTAGTAGAACATATCTGCATCTCCATTAGTTCATTCTATTCATTTTAGGACCCACCGTGCCATCGTCGGATGTCATCTTAGTCAATTTTTTTTGTATTTTCATTACATCTTCTTCGACGCTCATTGTTGTTGAGTTTTAATGAAGATGACAAGTTCCCGCGTATATTCCGAAAACAAATTGTGAGAAAATATTGATAAATCGGCTACCACACCGAAAATATAACTAGACCATAGACAAACTGGGATGATTGAAGTCAATCGCGGTATTATGATTTGAAAAAAAAACACAAGAAGCATTCCAATACTAAAAATGAGGTTTAGTAGCATAACAAAATAAAAGTTATCGCTGAGAGCAAAATATCACTAAATAATACTAAATTTAAATAACTCCAGTTCATAGTATAACCAATAAGTAAAATACACATTAAAAATACACTATATTATATTTTACATTTTTTAACAACTGACTTTAATGGTATGTTTATTTCTACATCTCTTTGGATATGCTTAAGTTAGATATCTACTCAAAACCAAAATTACTTTAATGCTGTTACCTAGGCATGAGACAAATCACAGTGAACTGTGAAAGACCGCTAATTTATGAATCGATTTTTTCATAAGTAGTTTAGAGTTACTACTTACTAACGCGTTCTTTCCAATAAGCTGTAATAAATCTAGTAATTTTTTTCTTATATATAGCTACTATTTGATATATAATAATAAAAAAACGAGTATGCTTTAGACCACACGACTGAAGTAAAACTTCTTGGCTGTAAGAGAAAGAGAGAAAGAAAATGTGTGCTCGCACCTCTCTCTCTTGTCCCTACAGTAATATACGAAACGTAACTCTCTCTCTCTCTCCTTCTGTCCTCTCTAACTTATATCTCACTCTCAACTTCCGTTCGCCTTGCCCGATCACACTTTTCGCAACGGTCTTTTCACGCAATCACCAGCTTACTCCAAAAGTCAATAGCGCATAAAGAAGTTTTATTTTAAAACAAACTAGATTTATTGTTTAACAGCATCTAACCCAGCTTCACAGTCACTTTACTGTGATTTTGTTCCATGGTTACTGTTACCGGTATTTTTGCTACTAGTAACTTTACAAAATAGGGATTGAATGTCTTTAGCCCGATTTCCGAACTTTTATTAAAGAAAATTACCACCTTTTGGACGGACATTGGCTTATTATTCCGAGTAAAATCCATTATGGCTCAAATTACGCTATTATACATTAGCTAAAATTAGGATTTAGTAATGTGATTTTTTTAAAATCCTGCTTTTAAGGGAAAACTAAAAATTATTTCATGTTAGTAGATATTTTTATAAGAGGATGGCAATATTTAATAAAAATTATAATATTGTTTATTCACAAAATAAATCAATAATTGTAGGTAACGCTTTCCTTCTGAACCTGACGAAGTCTATCAATATCCTTTTATACTTGTAGAAATTTCACAATTTTTCATTGTATACATCAAGTAAACAGTAACAACAATTCAAAAAAACATAAAAATGATAAAAATACTGTCAACAAGTGCATAGTCTTCTTCTTCTGTTAATTCAATGGCTCCATCCAATATAAGTGCATGTGCAGAACCACCAATCTCTCACTTGTGTCGCGTCGGAAACAATTGTCAAACTTGTCACAAATTTGTTTATTGGGCTTTGGACACAAAAATCTTCTTCGTATTCGGCCTGAAAATATACTAAAGTAAAAACTTAGTTGTTAGGAAGTCTATTCTTTTTGGTTATACATGTATGTATACATTTGGTTATACTTTTTGGTTATGCATGAAATTCGTATGTAAATTAATACTAAGCTCAAATTGTAGTCTTTTAATGTTCTCAACTTTTATTTCATCACTTGTTTTAAATAAATAATTGTATTTACCGATTGCATATTCCAAAGGGGACAGGACTGTTATTCCTTACTACAGGTTACTGCGTAACCTATCAAGGGTAACAGAACTCCACCCACAAGATTGTATCTATATATATGTAATTGAAATTAGAACTAAGTCACAAGCCTTTGTACTACAATCACCTTTTTACCAATAAATTATTATTATTATTATTATACTTCCCATGACATTTAGATCAAAGCTATTTAGATCATAGCTAATGAAATTTTTCAAGAACAAAAGCCATTATTGGACAACTCTTTTAGCTTAATTATTTGCTAATAATATACACAACGGAGCATTATATAACTATACTATCGAAAACAGTAACAAAAGCTGCCATATAGTGGAAGTTTTGCAACTGTTTAAGAGTTTTAAAATAATGTTTTTACTTTAATCCATTACAATGAAAACCGGTATCAAGTAAAGGTACCTGGAGGCAAATAGTACAAAAATTACCCCGTTTTACCGACCACCCCCTAACATTATTAGCGATGTGATCGCGATGTTGCTAATCGCTAAACCAGTGTGCAGTGACGCTGCAGATGCATTAACGGTAATTAAGTTTTTAGTTAGCTGTAAGGATAATATTATATTTATTTTTAATTGTAATTTTAAGTTAGTTAAGTTTTGTTTTCGTATTATTATTATTATTTTAGTAGTTAGTTAGTTGTATTATTGTAGGTAATTTTGTATTTGTTTATAATATCAATTTAGAATTAATTTATGTATGTTAAACAGGAGTTGCGCTACAATGACGAGTTAGAGAGATCACCATATTAATACGGTATCTACTTCTTTCTCAATCGGAGTTTGAGTGACTTCGAGATTTTCAAACGACCTCTGGGCCTCTGTCTTCTAAACAGAAGTTCCAGTAACATGTGCGAGCGACATCAGAGGGGTCGACAGGCCCTCACCACAAGAGTAAGGACCTGGCGTGCCCTGAAAGGGGTGACCTTTACGTTCGATTGGAGCTCTTCCGGACCCAGGATTCCAGTAGGGGTCACATGACGCACGTTCTTTCTAATTCCCAGCTGTCACCAGTGTGACAGCAGTGAAGATTCGACCCAGCATATGCTAGTGTTTTTTGCTAGCGTTAGTCTCACTTAAGTCATCGGAGAGGATCTTTTACTACCGGCCGTCATACGTCATACATCCATGGCCGGTAGCAACAGATGTTTTGCTGTGGTCGCATCCATCTTCCCCTTGAGGAGAGGGGCCTTCACTCTACGGACCAACGACGGAACGACAATGAACACACGACACCTCTTTATGCGGGGACGAACCAGATACTGCAGGCGGCTCAAGCAGCGGAGGTGGCTGAATGACTTCCATACTGCCTAAGTGCAGGCCTGGGGTTGACAAGTAAAGCCAGAAAAAAAAAGGTCCGGAGGTTTTAATAAGGGTTTTATCGGAACCCTCCTATTTTAGGCGCAGTGTTCTAGTAAAGAAATGACAACTTAACTTTAGAACCACCCCTATCACACATATGGCCCTATTGAGAGGGGTAATCTACTGTGTTAACTACCTTCATAACATCTTCTCCGTGTGGTGACGGATTAAGAATACGGAGTGTCACCACCCCTATTCATCCAATGGGTGTCGGAAAAGCCTACCAAGGGAGCAAACTACCACTGCAAAGAGAAGGAAAACTTTACACAAGCACCATACCAACACGTCTGGCCAGCATGGTATAGTAGGCTAAAACTTCCTTTCTAAAGACAGGCCCAGCAGTGGACGATTAAAGGTTGTTGATGTGATGTGTGATATTACACGATACAAACATAAATAGTGACATATGTAACAAATGTGGATTCAATTCAGTCTCGCTTCATCAGGTATTTATGGTAGGTATGCATAAAAACGGAATTCGTAAAACTATTCCACAATACAGTGACAGGTTAAATCATTTTTGCATTTTAATCTTAAAAGAATGATGCGCTTATTCTGACTTTTATACACTATACAAAATTATAAAGGTTTAAGATGCACAATGCGTAATGCACAATTGATATACAACTTTAACTTTAGGATTAATACATGTGTAATGCGTCACCATCGCATGTATCAACTTTAAATACCACTTTCAATAGCCCCCTTACACGCATTGGAGGCTGTATAACGAAAGGTCTATGACAGTGGAAACCATTGATATCTTCTCCATTACATTCACATCATACAGACATTCCATACGAAGCCATGTTGCCGAACCCAACTCTTAGAGCGCCTGTTCCTGCCTGTTTTGTTTTTGTTAACTTTTACTATTTAAAAAATATACTTTCTAGTTTTGGTCTTATGTTTGTAAGTGTATATTTATGTAGTTAATTAGCATTTGTATAAAAAGTCTTTCCATTGGATATATACTAAGTGTCATGCATATCTATTATCTGTGTAATTACCTGAAACTCAAATTATGAAAATGTTATCGCCCCGCGACGTTGTAATTATGCTGTTGATGTGTTTAATATAAATAAATTAATAAAATATAACTAATGAACAATGTTACTAAAGATCAGAAAGAGCCGGTTTCTTATAGCTATTTACACTGCTTAAGGAGCATCGAAATACAGGCATGACATAGGGAATGTTAAATAGCTACCATTTATTTATATAACTTCTACTCGGTTCTATTAAATCTAATAGATTCCTTCTGACCCATCGCAATGCCAGTAGAGTCATAGGTAATATTTTTTCACTTCTGCAAAAATTATCATCCATCTTGTGCAGAGGACATTTTTTTTCCCATGACACTACCGGTACTGTAATCTGGTAGTGCGATCGGTCAAAGGATGTATGACCGTTCATTAATTACCCATTACACTACTGGTAGTCATGGGTCAAAAGGTAAAAATAGCAACACTGTGTCGTGAGAAACTAAAAATAAAAAAAACCTAATGAATTCATCTGTCAACTAATCATATACCACCTTCTCTGATATGTTGAGGGGAGACATTGCTATAATATCACTGGCAAGGCCGGATTTGTATCATTAACGTTCACACAATAACAGAAGCTCAACGCGCTCACACCTTTGAACAAAGATAAAGGTAATTTAAAATTAATATATGTAAATTACAAAATATCATATAGTTTTCAAAACTTGAAAATAATCGCTATATGTGTTAAATGTAGCGAGTTAAGGTCACGGTTGCAGATAGAAATCGTCTGTATTTTTTTAGGGAAGGCTACTCCTAATTCTTCCTCTAGGGAAATATATCACTGTGAGTGTATATGTGTATACAATTAACTACCATAAAGTATACCTACTCAGACTCTGCAGCAGAATAGAGGTAAGGGTGAGGAGACCGCTTAAACCGTTACGCCCTTTGCCTGTGTTTGACATTGCATCTACTATGCATTGTTATATTTCTTATGTGTCCATTAAATTTTTATTTGTGTCGACAAGTATTTTTACGGTTACATAGTCAACAAGTAACTCTTAGAAATTTGCAATATACATCGGTCTGTCCGCTAAGCTTAGAGAAAGCTGTAATTTACTGTAGGTACTGGCAAATGATAACATCCTGAAATAACTAAATGATATCGCCCTTAATAATAGTAATTCCTACATTTATAACATAATTACGTTATGTCACATAATGCATCGGTGTCAACAACGCGTCTCATTACACGCTTTATTTTTAGACCTTTTTTAAACCGTGAACTTAATAACTATGTTTCTAGTCCGCATATTTTGACGGGCAACTACAACACGCAAATGGTATATTTCTTTTATATTCATTGTGTTTATGAATATTTTTTGAATATTCAAATGTTTTTAAGAATTATTATTTTTTTTAAATTTGAAAACAGCGTAGCATCATATAAATTGTTATATTTAGAACTAGAGTTTAGGGTAGAGTGGCCACCACTACTATAAAATATGGCCTTGGTCTTGTATGTAGTATATGTTAATTAGTTGTGCACTATATGTTACAGATATTAATAAGGTACTAAAAGACTTTTTTAATGCTTAATCAGATGCTGCCTTTTTAAAAATATTTTTCTTATTCTAACATTTACTGACTCTTACATGCCTTTAGTAACTTGACAACAAATCATCAGGCAATGTATCTTCATTTTGCCAGGCGTCATGATATTACGCTAAAACTCGCTTTTCCGATGTTTAAAAAATCTTTTAGACAATAATCCAGGTATTCAAATTACCAAAATCAATAATACGAACAAGAGAGAAACCGTAGCGTGGTTTAAATTTTTCAACGTTTTCAAACAAAATAAGGTAGATTTAAAAGGAAACGTGTCGAGTGATGTTTATATTATAAAATCCTGGTTGAAAGCAAAAATATCCACGTTAAAATTTAAAGTTATAATTTAGTGCTAAGTTTTAGTATGATGCTAAGTTAAAATATTTATTTCCTGAAATTAATTTACGTGCTTAAATTAAAACACAAGGCAACGTAGGTTGTTTGATCACTATGACCACTTCTCAATAAGATTAAGCGATTAGGAACGTTGCCCAAGTTAGCCATTTATTTTAAATAGATCTAAGGACATAAATCATACATTACTTATTACTCTTACTACTACTTGTTACTATTACTTAATACTATACTCGTTAAGCCTATTAACAAAGTTTCTTTACGATGGAGCAAACAACATTAGTTTTGTTTTGTTTTTGTTTTTTTTTTTAAAGACAACTCAAGCATTATAATTTACCGAAAATTGGGAATAGGTAAAAAAGTGATGATAATGACTTAAAACGCCACTACAATTCTAGAAATCATCCTTAGAATAACCTTGCTGTCGCTACATTAATCATTACTATGCACAGGTACAAAACATTCAAAACCTGTTTATAAATACAAGAGTTAAAAAATGAACAAAACCATGACCCGCTTATATGTATAACTTCACATTTGTTTTCATTTGGTTGATGATAGCAAGATCTAAATCAAAGGTCAAAATGCTAATTGAAGTGAATAGGTCAATGTGAAATACTACAAGATGGAAAATAAGTCAACTAAGTTGAATATTAAAAACTACTTACAAGTAGTAAGTAAACAGTAGCTACTTACAAGTACTAGTAGATACTTTAGCAATGCATTATATTATATAATTAACTTCATATTCCATATTTGTTCAGAGAAGAAACTTCAGATTTCAAAATGTGGTCCACATTCATCGTCCTTGCCTTGTCGTTAGTGACGTATACTAACGCGCTCTCAACGGGAGCACCCGAGGAAGCGTGCCGTGACATGATACCACAGCATGGCGTCTCAGCGCGCAGTAGCGTAGCACCATACACAATCACCACCAGTACGAAGGTATGAGGAACCTGACTTTCTTGACAATGGAAATGTCAAGAAAGTAATACCTATGATCACTAATTGTTAAAGTCGTAATAATCGTTAGAATGTTAGTTTAGGCACTAAGTGTTCAGACATAGAAAATGTTTAAATCTAGCGGTTACTTTAAAAAAATAGTTGTTGGTAAAAGTTCAGTCAATTGAAAACTAATTTATATATTATTACATAACTTATTTCTGTAATTAATCTATAATACGTAGTATTCACAATAATTCTAGATCGACTGCGAACATCAAGACGTACGTAGAATAAGTACGCTTCGATCGAAGTTGAAAACAGATAAATAAGAACTTGTTAAAAAAAGTAACTCTTATTACTTCATGTTTCGTGTTAATAATGAACAAATAATAATTCTATGAAATTGATCATATGAGTTACAAATACTGTGAAAAAAGTTAGAACTGCAAAAAACACAATTCTTACCAACAGACAGTGAAGAGCGGTACACCCATGGAGGTTGTGATCACAGGCAAATCGAGCAGCGATATCATGCGTGGTATGCTGATGCAAGCTCGCTACGGAGATGAAATAGTGGGCACGTTCACATTGAACCCTAACGAGCGATTTGCCCAACTTATTGACTGCGGTGCACCCGGCGTAAGTTTATGTACTTCTTTCTTCTATATGAACCTTCCTTTTCATAGTCTCAAATCGAACTCTTCGCGAATCATCATTTTGCCTCAAATAACTTGGTAGGGGGATTACGAAAATTACCGTATAAATATCATTTTTAATAAAAGTGCCATCCATATCTTTTGCTTCACGAATATGATGAGTTTCTTTGCCTTCAGGTCAAAAATTTACACCCATCTACCACTGACACCGAAAAGCTACTTTTGACTTTGACCTCTTGCTTAGACTGCTATGACTTTGAATATTATTAATTAAGAATTATATTTTTTACCTTATTTTGGTTACCTTCGCTTTTTATGACTACTGATTTATACTTTATGCACTGCTAACTTACTTAATTAAAGATCAGTAATTTACACATTATTTGGATCGAGCTAGTGGTCGCAACTTTGTCTCCGTTAAATAAGTATACTTTGGGTAGTCTTCTTTTGTTCCACACTTTCATATTTGGGTATGTTTATGTTACGCACGCAAGATGAGATGTTTTTGCCCTTGGAAAAAATTTTTTTATATTAGGGTCTCCGGCATAGAGGAAAATCGTAGTAAATATCTACAGACTTGGCAGCATGTTAAACAATAGGCGACTGCAAAGTGAACAAAGAGACGCGTCTGATCGCGGTAATGGTTTAGAACTCTTCAGCACCTAGTGCTAGTCTTTTGCGAGATAGCTCTTCACAAGCTCTTCTGATCCTTTTTCTGTCGAACATAACCTCCTGGTTTCACAAATATCATCTCCTCTTCTTCCACCCTTTTCCATCAAACGAGGCCCAAAATCCGAAAAATTTCCGTTAACGAGAGCCATCGCGAAGTCAATGCATTGCGTCACGCTGTGCGCTCCCTTATAGCTTCCATTCGGCATCTCATTCAAATAATATTTTCTAAAAATATACTGTATATGCATACTCATGTCTTGTATTTACATGCTTGCTACCTACATATCAAACACATACAAATAATATTTTCTAAAAATATTTCAAACAGTATTTAATCTACGTTGTTTTTTTAAGAAGGATCTTTATTTATATCTTTATATTATAATTGTAGAACGCGGTGACACACAAGAAGCATGATGAAGCAGACCACAAACAAACTCTCGCTGTCAAGTGGACGCCCCCTGCCGGCTTTAACGGCGATATTAAATTCAGGTAACCTAAATAATTGCAATGTACTTAGTCTGGCCATAAATAGTGTTATAATTGAAAATAATATATAAAATTACATTTAAATTCGGAATCTGTCATTCATATATGAATATTCCATATCGCGTGTGCACGCGTGTGTCGCGAACCATGTCGCGTATGTTAAAAGATGACTAGCCCTAGTGATGGAATATTTAGTCTTCGCACTCATGTTAAATTTTGAAGTCTTATTATTTGTTTAAAAGCAGTTAGCAAATTAGTAGTCGTAAAATCGTAGTTAGTAGTCGTGAAATTTTGCTTACTTTTTAATTGTACTTCTTATTTTCAGGGCCACCATAGTACTCGACGGTAAAACTTTCTGGGTGGGTGTAGAATCCGCACCTATCAAAGTAGTCAGTTAAGTGTACCACAGTACTACTATGTTCAATATGAAAAAGTGTACGAAGGGAAAGGTAGATGATATTCAGAGTTATATTCTATTCTTATTCTAATGGTAATATTCTTAATAATATATATAAAAGTATTAACTGTGACCTACTTCCAAACCTGAATGGAGTAGAATAGTCAGTACCGTAGACCACTGGCATTTTTTAGTTTTCACTTCACACTTCTAGACTTCACAGAAGATTTTCTATTTTACATAATAAATATTTCACGTCAAACAAACGTTGTAGGTAGAATTTACAAAGTTTGTATTGCTTTATATAATATGTTTGTGATGCAAAAATAAATCATTATTATGTTATCTGAATTTTATTTGTGTATTATACTAAAAACACCTGTGTTGGTATATCTAAAAAAAATGTATTATAATAACCAGTGTTATTTTAAAAGATTTTGATGGCTGAGTCGTCGTAACTAATTAAATTATTGTTATGGTAACAGTACTTCGTCGTTCATTTGTAGTTATTTTGTCATTTTCCTTATGTTGTTCTAAACCTTTAACGAACGCCTGAAATAAAATGAAACCTAGAGCTTGCAGTATTGCTTGGACAGGTATCAGTTAGCAAGACACAGTTAAGGGGTTTTATCAGGCAAAGAAAAAGCAAAAGTATTACAGAAAGGTATGGTGATATTTTGGAAAACTTTTACTAATGAAAATCGAACAACTCGCGGTTTTTCTTTTACTTTTAATGAGGTCATTTTCAAACAAAGCCGGATACACCATCAACATTATTGATAGTTCATGCTAAATACTTAGTTCGGTACCTTTCGTAGCTACGTAGCGTAGCGTCATAATGTTGCTAATTGACTTTGTTCAGGAGTCTATCCTGACGATAAAGCATTTTCGATTCCCACTCAATGTTTTATTACTCATTCCTAACACAATTTACCTAAAGTGTAAAGTGATTGCCAATATTAGAAATAACGAATGACACATCATTGAGGCATAGAAAACAATGGCTCAACATATGGCTACTCGGTCAAATTGTAACCAACCATAAAAATAGGCGCAAGGTGATTACGGCTCGATCTTCTCTATCTGTTTTTACTTATCTTCATCTAAAAAATAAGTATAGTGTTATCGCAATGGTGAGACCATACTATCAATGCGGTTTCGTTGGCACCATTAATGGTGGAGATGAAACTGATTAGTCTCCTCTGCACCCATAATGGTGCAGGTCAATGGTGCATGCGGTACTAGGGTTTTTTTTGTAGCACAAGAAAACAAGGAAAAGGGTTTCATGTCATTTATTATATTACAATAAGCTACGTAACTGGAAGTTTATGGAACTATTTGGGAATAATTTGCCGCTTCGAATAGCTATTCCCACTAGTTCCATGTATGGAACTAGTGGGTTGCAAAAGTTCTATGAGGAACTGGCTTTACGGAACTACTGTGAATAAACCACCCAAAATCAGTTAGCCGGGCCGTCGATACAAAGCACGACCTTTGTAGATCGTCAAAAGTCGTCTACTTTACATAAAATCATTCTTTCCAAAAATACAAAATAATGGACATATTTATTTCGACAGTTATTATCCAGTCCACATATGACTCCCCGCGGATTGAATTAGAATGAATATTCTTTTATGAGTCCGTGTGGTGACGGATTAAGAATACGGAGGTTCACCACCAGTATTCATCCCGTGGGTGACGTAAGAGACAACTAAGGGAGCAAACTACGCAGGATAACAGCACTGTAAAGAGTAGGAAAACTTGAAACAAACCTTATACAGATCCGCCTGGTCAGCATGGTATAGTAGGCCTAAACCTCCTTTCTAAGGAGAGGCCTATGTCCAGCAGTGGACTGTCAAAGGCTGTTGATGATGATTCTTTTATGAAGCTGCTCTTTCTGTGTTTGATGGTACCAATTTTTTACCTCGTCTCTGAACTAATACTCTGTCTTAAATACTGATTTAACTAGGTAGTCTAAATTTAAAAAAAAAGTAAAAAGTTGTATTTTTTTTTTTAAATTCCAGTAAAATATGTTCACTACTTTTACTAAAAATACACGTTTTGACAAACCACAAAAGTTAAGAGGGACAAATCTCGAGGGATCGAATAATCGAGAAAATCATCTCACGAAATTTGGAAACAAAGTTAATTGTAGATTTACACAACGTAACACTTAACAGTATGTAGAATAAACGTACGTTTTCAAAATATTGTTATAACTAGTCTCTTTTAGTAGGTCATGACTTTGTTGCCACAATAAGAGGCTGCAATGTCCATTAAAAGCTTATTTTAGGTCACAATGAAAATTCCGCCCTATCAAAATTCACTACTTATTAGTTACCTTCAAGTCAGGACGTAACTTCAAAGACTTCTTACATATTTAGTCAAGTATATATAGATTGTAGGCTTACTATTATGACGTGGGTTTCTGGTTACAGTGGTGTCACATTATTTGTGTCGATTTAAAATGCCTAGTCATGTACGTTTACGTCATGGCAACGAACAACATATAAAGCAACTTGCGAATTCTTATTATTAAGAATAGACAAATGTAACCCGCACTATGACAAATCACATGAGTTTTGGAGGATAGGATCGAGCAAAATGTCATGCTGTCCATATATAGAATTATATTGTAGTTACTACGTTTTTTGTTTTTATTTCAATGTCAAAGGCAATAAATAATAATATCGTTATAATGAAGTGAACCTTTACTGCTGCTTTATGCTGAGAAAGTACCGGAAATAGGTCAATAAAATATTATATAGCCTTAAAAACAACCTTGTTTTGAAATAGGCTTACTCCAATGTTTTACCCATCAAATCATTTTTAAATGCATTCAATCATCATCAAACTCAAACACACACAAAAAAGAATTAAAAACTTCGATCAACAAGATTAAAAAGTAAAATAATCGATTTATATAACTACAAGCGACCCGCCCTGGGCAATGTAGATACTAACTTGGTGCCAGTGTTGAGTTATTAATAATTTTATTATTATGATTATACTAAAGGATATTTTCATACACTAGGCATGCCTTTTAAGTTCTGTCGTTACCATATTGCCCGGCAATTTTGAATTTGGAACTGTTCTATATTAGATTAAATTTTGAATCTCAAAACAGTTGAAAGTATTAGGATTAATGCTATTGTTTAGTCACAGCGTCGTTTGGAATCTGTCAGGATACGTACGAACTTGACACGGCTTCAGTGTTTTGAAGAGCTGACATCTGTGTTCAATGATGAAGCCCCAGGTCTGCGGACTGTCGAACGCTGGTATTTAGAATTCCAGCGTGGACATACTAGTGTTAGTGACAAATCTCGCGAAGGACGCCTAAAATCCGCCTTCACTGAAGATAACATCATTGCTGTGAGACAACTAACTCTCGGAGATCGTCATGTGACGTATCGAGAGATAGAGACTCTATTAGGCATCTCAGAAACAACCATTCAGAAGATCTTGCATGAAGCGCTTGGTGTGAAAAGTTTGCCGTTGAATACCGGATCTGCTTTCCGACGATCACAAGGCGGCGGCCCGCGTCAAATGGTGTAATAAAACTCGGCAAAGGTTCAACCAAGGAAAGTCAAATCACATGTACGACATCATCAGTGGTGACGAATCTTGGATCTATGCCTACGATCCTGATTCCAAACAACAATCTACAATCTGGGTCTTTCAAGACGAGCCAAAGCCGACTAAAGTTGTTGTTGTTGTTGTGAAAAACCGGCCATGTTGCGACTGTTGCACTTGAAGATCGTAGAACGGTTAACGCAGAGTGGTATACTACAGTTTGTTTACCACAAGTCATCGCCGAACTTCGAAAATCTAACTCAAAGCGACGCATCATCCTTTTTTTTTTTTTTTTTTTTCACGCGGGGAATGCTTTTCGCACCATACCCTCCGTTGGGGAAACGCCGCAGGGCGTGTGTGGGACTCCCGGAGAACCGGTCTACCCACTAAACCCCGCGGCGGCCTACCTCGGCAGTCGGGAGGAGCTCCAGGAACGCATCGGCGACTTCTGGAGTCCTCCCTGCCGTACCTCATGTCTGAGGCACATCCCGGAATGACCGTAGTCACCCTGGGGCTGGACGCCATCGCGCCTCTCACTGCTCTACAGAGTAAAAGGCGCAACAGCGTCCCGCCTTAGACGACACCCCCCCCCCGGCCGCACCGGAGTGTCATCCGTCTCGGGTCGTTTACAGCGGTCACAAGATGTGGCCGCAGTAACCCTTAGGCGGCGATTGGGGAGTTAGCGACCTCTGCCGCGTCCCCTTCGCCGCCTCCTTCGAGCGGGATCGGCCCTCTCCCGATCCCGCTCTGCGGCCTCCTTTTGAAGCATAACGTCCTCGCAGAAGGAGACCGCGGCTGCCCATCCCTCGCCACTCGCCAGCATTGCCGCGATTAATGCTGGCGGTGACAGGTTTCGTCCGATCTGTCCGACCAAGACTCGACGTTCGGACTCCCATGCAGGGCAGTCCTCCAGCGTGTGCTGGGCGGAGTCCCGGTCGGACCCGCAATGGTGGCATTGTGCCGTGGCCTCCCGTCCAATTCGATTCAGATACTCACCGAAGCAACCGTGCCCGGTAAGCATCTGAGTCAATCGGTAGGTGACACAGTCGTTCCTCCTTACCCACGCTTCGAAGCTCGGCAGAACGGCTCCGACGGCGCGTTGGCTAGCACAGCCCTGGATTACAAGCCGTGCCTGCCACGCTCGCAAAGCCTGCGTATGCGCGTTCCGCCGTAGCATTCCGGGCTCATGATCCGGCGCGGCCTCCTCACCGTTCCGACCGACAGAACGGACTTGGTCATAGACCATCGCGTCCATGTCGGCCAGAATGTCGAAGGGTGGATATCAAGCCAGGACCGTCGCCGCCTCAAACGAGATGGTACGATAACCCCGTACGACCCGTATGGCCATCAACCGCTGTAGGCTTCTGAGTAGAGCCTTGCAGCGGGAGGCACCCGCCAAGTCATTAGACTAGACGGGCGCCCCATAGA